AAACCCCATCGTTCTTGAGGATCTCAATCTACCCATAGCCTGTGTTTGTTTGTTTGTTATGATATAGTTAGACATGAAATCTCTTTATATAATCGCTTTTTTGTGTAAATTATATTATATTTCCCACTTTGGTTCGTGTCTGGCACTTTCAAACACACTTAGAAGACGTGCTAAGTTGTTTGTTTGCAAAAAATAATCGTTTGTGGGGAAACTTAAATGTAACAGATTTTTCTGCAACTTTTAATAAGTTTGATATTTTTTTAGTATCTATATACTTAGTGATTTGTTTACGTGTCGCGCTCACAGTGAGTTTCAGAGTGTTTTGTTTATATGTCAGTTCCAAAATGAGTTTCGGCTGCAAAAATACCGATTAGCTCCAATTTGTAATTAAATGTTATTTTTTATTAGTTTTTATGTGATGATATATTAAAAAAATACTTAAAACAAATCGGTCTAAATTATTATGGTTTAATGCTTAATTTCGTAGTCAATCAAACTGTTTTTAAAATTATATAAAACCAAAATTTAAAAATAATTTATCAAAAACGTTTTTAAAAAAAGAAAACAAACAAATGGAATCTATATCTCGTATGGAATGGTGTATATAGCACATCGACCATTTAAAAAAAAAATATATATATATATAGATTAGTATTCTCGATAATACCATTTCTGTTTCCAAAATTTAGAAAAAAAAAACTAACAAAAATGTTAAAAAAAACGAAAAATAGAATCTATTTAAAAGTAATGAACTTTAGTTTCTAAATTAAAGAATATCAAAATTTAAAAAAATATTTAATAAACAAGTAAAAAAAAGAATCTATATATCTAACTAACTAATGGAATATCGTTTAAAAAACAAGGAAATCATCTCTAACCAGTGGCGGATCTATATATCTAACTAACTAATGGAATATCGTTTAAAAAAAAGAAAATCATATCTAACCATTGGCGGATCTAGAAAGAAATTTAGTTGGGAACACAATATCTAATAAAAAGTAAAAGAGAAAAGAATAAAAAATCTATATATCTAACTAATGGAATGTCGTTTGAAAAAAAAAAGAAATCATATCTAACCAGTGGCGGATTTAAAAAGAAATTTAGTTGGGGCATTATTTTATAAAAGTTGGGGACACATGACCCCATTCAGCTTTTACTACGTCCGCTCCCGTCTTTAACTAATGGAATGTCTCTAATTATTATGATAGATAGGTTAGTGTTTATCATTTCTTATGTTTATAGGATTTTTTATGATTTAGTATAAACATCAGCCAGTTTTCTCTAATTCTCTCACAACTTGTTCAACATATTTCTTCTTCTTCGTTCTAACTAAAAATTTATGGAGTCATCAGGTAAACATATACTAATGTTTTTCTAAACAAGTATTAAATAAGAAATAACTTAAATCATATTGGTCCAAATTATTATGTTTTTATTTACTCTCGTTTATATTGTTTTTATAATCATGTTTTCAAACATTAAAATGTAAGAAAATCTACCAAACAAATATACTCAACAATAGAGAATAAAAAACAAATGAATTCAAACTACTATTAGATTTCCAAACAACCAAATAAAAAATAATATAGTCCGCGTCTTGTTAACTAATTTTACTTGATTAGTAATGACAAAATTAACTAAAAGAAACAAAATAAAAGTTTTAGTGATAAATATTCAAGGCACGAAAGAAATCTGTTTTATAATATTAATGTGATGAAAACTGAATTAGTTTGAGCATCACATGTACTTAATTTTAGTTTATATATATAACAAGTTCAATGATTTATAAATTATTGGATGCTCTGCATTTAATTCCTGCTAAATTATATAATGTGATATATTAAAAAAAACCTCTGCAATATTAAAGTTAATAAATTTAATTTTTGACGGTTTTTATGTACATAGTATAAGATAGTATAATAAAACATATAATACACAACTATATCTATCAAAACTTTAAAATATATTAGATTTGTAAAATGGTTTATACATATGTAGATTTCCAAAATTTTGAATATCTATGTTCACAAACCAAGTTTTTGATAGTTTTATATCATTCACTCAAAAGCCTGTGTCCAAGAAATTAATAAGCTCTGTTCGGCATTCTTCTGGTCAAGCCCAGTTTTAAATTTAAAAAAAAACTAAAAGAGCTTGGAAGGATATATGCATCCCAAAGAAGAAGGAAGTTTAGGGCTGAAGTCACTAGAAGAAGCAAACAAAGTGAGTTGTCTAAAATTGGTCTGGCGAATCCTCTCTGGAAAGGACTCACTTTGGGTGAATTGGGTGCAGCGTCAGCTTATTCGAAACGGATCATTCTGGGTGGTTAGGGACACCACAACTCTGGGTTCATGGATGTGGAAGAAAATCCTCAAGTATAAAGATTTGGCGAAGCTATTTCACAAGGTGGAGGTGAGTAATGGTAATAAAACTTCTTTTTGGTATGATCAATGGTGCGATATGGGTCGTCTGATTGACAGAGTTGGTGAGTGGGGATTCTTAGATATGGGAATTACTCAACAAGCAACCGTGGGGATGGTGATTGTAAGAGTGTAAATGTGGTAGAGTTCGATACTCTCTATATATTATTGAGGACTATATATATAGAGTTACAGAGGAAACCCTAAACATATACATGGGTATATTTGTACATATCTATATATTCTAACACGCCCCCTCAGTCGGATCGGGAGGTTTACGAACGCTCAGACTGGATTTAAAATCGAGGAAGAGTGTTGTAGGAAGTCCTTTGGTGAAGATATCCGCATATTGCAAAGCAGAGAGGACATGAAGGACACGTACTTGCCCAATAGCAACTCTTTCCCGCATGAAATGAAGATCAATCTCAACATGTTTTGTGCGTTGATGCTTCACCGGGTTTGTCGACAGGTAAACAGCACTAACGTTGTCGCAATACACTATCGTTGCACGGGTGAGTGGACATTTCATCTCAAGGAGAAGATTACGCAACCAAGTAGCTTCGGAGACTGCATTGGCAACACCTCTGTATTCAGCTTCTGCACTAGACCGTGAGACCGTGACTTGTTGTTTAGAAGACCATGACACTAAGTTATCTCCCAGAAAGACACATTAGCCGGAGGTTGATCGACGGACATCCTGCCCAATCGGCATCGGTATAGACGACAAGATTTGTTGGTTTGGAGCGATAAAGTTGCAGTCCATGAGAGATAGTACCTTTGATGTAGCGAAGAATGCGTTTCAAGGCATTGAAGTGAAGAATGCGTTGAAGTGAAGAGATAGTACCTTTGATGTAGTGAAGAATGCGTTTCAAGGCATTGAAGTGACTTTCCCGAAGATCGTGCATGAACAAACAGATTTTTTGGACGGCAAAGGATATGTCAGGCCTCGTAAATTTGAGGTATTGTAATGCACCAGCAAGGCTCCGGTACAAGGTTGGATCAGCAACGGAAAGACCATCATCGGCAGCAAGCTTAGTCTTTGTGTCCACGGGAGTCAAGCAGGGTTGCATGCAGTCATGTTGGCGCGATGAAGAATGTCTGCAGCATAGTTATGTTGGTGCAAAAGGAGACCAGAGGAGTTACGTGTAACGGCGATGCCAAGAAAATCATGCAAGAGTCCCATGTCCGTCATCTCAAAATCAGTGCTAAGAGAAGCAATAAGCGATTGAATAAGAGTTGGAGTTGATGCCGTGAGATTGATGTCGTCAACATAAAGGAGTAAGTACGCCAACTTAGAGTCTTTGTTGAAGATGAATAATGATGCATCTGATGCGCTTTGAACAAATCCAATCTTCTTTGCATACATAGCAAACCGGTTATACCAAGTGTGTGGTGCTTGTTTGAGACCGTAAAGCAAACGCTTGAGAAGACACACATGATCTGGTCGTGTTTTATCAACGAATCTGGGCGGTTGATGCATGTATACAGTTTCTTCGAAATCACCATGCAAGAATGCGTTCTTGACGTCAAGTTGATGTAGAGGCCAGTCGTATGCAAGAGCAACATCTAATACCGTGCGGATTGTTGCGGGCTTAATGACGGGCTGAACGTCTCATCACAGTCGACGCCTATCTGTTGTGACTTCCCGTTGGCTACCAGACGTGCCTTGTATCGCACAAGCTTCCCATCTGCATTAAATTTATGCCTGAAAAGCCACATAGAACGAAGCACATTAGTAGCAACAGGCCGTGGTACTATGGACCACGTTCCCCTTTTAATTTGAGAGTCATATTCCTCTTGCATGGCGGCATTCCAATAAGGATCATTTGCCGCTTGTACATGAGAGGCCGGTAATGGTGAGACAGTGGTCGTATGAAGGCACAATTAAATGCGTGGCTTGACTATACCACTCTTACTGCGAGTGATCATAGGATGTGCAACCGGTGGTGGCGGAGTAGCAGTAGGAGGTGGTGGTGGCGCTGGTGAGGCAGGTGGTGTTGGTGGTGTTGGTGGTGTTGGTGCAGACGTCTGTCGCTCTATCGGTGGAGGAAGTGCATCAATTTGAGGATCAAAAATGCGTACCTGTGCCGTTGGAGCAGACGAAGGACCGAAAAGAAACGTCATTTCGTCAAATGTGACATGGCGTGAGAAAGTAATTTTGCGTGACTTTAAGTCAAGACAACGATACCCTCTATGATCAGTGGGATAGCCTAAAAATACACAGGCTGATGATCGTGGATCTAGCTTGTGTGATGTTGTGGCGATGGAGTTGGGATAGCACAATGAGCCAAAGACGCGAAGGTGGTGATAAGTGGGCGGTCGAGCAAACAACACCGTAAAGGGAACCCGGTCATGGATTGACTTTGATGGGAGTATATTAAGAAGATGTGTGGCTGTGTAAAGCGCTTCAACCCAAAATTCCAGGCATAGACGCTTGAAAGAGCATGACCCGAATAAGATTGTTGATGGTTCGAAGCATACGTTCAGCACGCCCATTTTGTTGAGACTTATATGGGCATGAGAAGCGAATAGTGGTGCCTTCAGACGCAAGGTAATCAAGGAACACGCGACTGTTGTATTCGCCGCCGTTATCACACTGAAATGATTTGATTTTGCGCTGAAATTGAGTTCGAACGTAAGCTGCAAAGTGAAGATATTTGCTGAAAGTTTCACTCTTTTTACGAAGAGGATAAGCCTATACGAAATTAGAAAACTGATCCAAAAATATAACACAATATTTTATTCCTCCAAAACTTGAAATCGGAGAGGTCCAAATATCTGAGTGCAAAACGTCAAAAGGTGCAGCAACACACAAAGAAGATGAGTAAAACGGGAGATGCACATGTTTTCCCAATTGACATGCATGACACAAGTTTGTCAAGTCAGTCTTATTAAACTTTAAAACACCAGTTAAAGCAAGTGAATATAGAACAGATTTTACCAGGTGACCAAGACGCCGATGCCATATTGTGCCACTTGATGAGGATGAAATCAACGCAAGAGGTGAAGCTGTGTCGGTCGTTGGAGTAACCGAGTACAGTGGTCCGGTGCTGTCACATCGGAGTATTTTGTTCTTCGTTACCAGATCCTTAACACAAAAGCCATATGGGTCAAACTCAACCGAACACTGATTATCAGTAGTGAAACGACGAACAGACACAAGATTCTTCACAAAAAGATGGACAAACCAAGACATGATTAAGATGTAGTGAGCGATGTGGTGATGAAATAGTGTCGTGACCAAGTTTTGTTACACGGGCAAAGGATCCATTACCGACCATGACTAAAGGATTAACGCTCGAATTAAAAGTGGAATGTAGAATACCTGGCTGTGCCATAATGTGATTTGAAGCGCCTGTGTCCATGTACCAATTAGAGTCTCCAGAGTTTTGTAACGTCATGGACAAGAAAGCATTTGTAAGTTCGGCCGGAAGATACTGTGAGGACGGCATCGACGGAGAGATGGTGTGAATCCCGTGAGCCATATGAGCCTCATTGTGTTGGGGAGGTGACGGACGGTGGCCGAGAATCCCATTCGGTGGAGGATAAGAGTATGGTGGTGGTCCGGAGAAACGCACCGGAGGTGATGAATATGATGGGTACGATGGTCCGTAACCCCATTGCAGTGGTCCGTATCCCCACTGTGGTTGATAGTTGTATTGTTGTGGCCAAGAGTTGTTGTTACGACCTCGTCCCCAGTTGTTGCGTCCACCATGACCTTTGTTTTTGTATCCCCGACCTTGCTGACCCTGAGACTGATTGTTGTAACGTTGAGGAGACTGTTCTTGCTCAGAGTTGGTGTAAAGAACGCTTGGAGATGATGAGTGTTTGTTGTGTATGAGCTGGTTGAGGTTTGATTTGCTTTGCTAGTCGTTTTTCTTCCCCGTCAACCATGGATTGAGCTTTAGCAAATGTGGGAAAAGGAGACTGGTGCTTAATAACGTTGATGATGTTATCAAACTTTTCGGAGAGGCCATTGAGGAGATACATCACTAATGTGCGCTCAGAGACCGGAGCGTCAACTAGGCCTGGGCAAAAACCTAGATCCGAATATCCGAACCGAAATGGAAGAACCGAATCCGAACCGAAATTTTTAAAAATATCTGATGGATCTTAAACTCTTATACCCGAAGAACCGGAACCAAACTAGTACCGAACCGAGAACCGATTGGATACCCGAATTATCCAAAGTATAATTATATATCCTTTTAAATATTAGTTTTTTTTGATATTTTTGATATTTGGTATATATTTCTGGTTTTACAGATATATTTTCTTTATTTTTGGGACTTTTGGGTATATTTTTAAGTTTTGATATATATATTTTTGAATTTTTGTTATTAAAAAAGTGTGAGTCGAATTAAAAATTTGAGGCAAAAGATCCGGATCCGATTATCCGAACCGAAATAAAGGTACCGAACCCGAACCGAAATTTATAAAAATATCCGATGGATCCTAACTTCCTCTACCCGAAATATCCGGAACCGATTGGTTCCGAACCGAAACCGAACCGAATATCCGAATGCCCAGGCCTAGCGTCAACGTTGGCAAGAAGATCCGATGTTTTCTTCAACTTGCGGCAGTATTCGGCGAGATAAAGGTCGCCCATGGTAAGAGTACGGAGTTCATGATCAAGCTCCAGCGAACAAGCTTCTTTGTTGTCTCGGAATAGATTTTCGAGAGACTCCCATAGTTCCTTAGCCGTGCACTTTGTCTTCAACACTGTGTCGAGAATGGATTCGGAAATCGTTCCGTATATCCACATCTTAACGAGTCCATCTCGTTCTTTCCACTGCTTTTCGGTGTCCGGAGTGAGAGATGCAGTGCCATCGAGGTGACCCGAAACTCCAAAGGTGAGACAGTGAGTCTCAAAGAGCTCCCTCCAGGTGTCATAGTTGAGTTTGTTGAGATCAAGGATAAGGGGGATGTAGGCCCTGATTTGAGAAATCCCGAAGGGTTTGTCGTTGTTTCCCGTAGCCGCCATTGAATCAAAAGAGAACAGAGAGATTATTGAGAAGAACAATGAGGAGCAAAAGAGAAGAGAAGGAGAAGACGTGAGAGAGAAGAAGAAGAAAGGAGAAGAGGAAGAAGAGTAGCGGAAGTTGAGATTTTGCGGCTAGGGTTAGAAAGAGGCTCTGATACCATGTAAGAGTATTAATGTGGTAGAGTTCGATACTCTCCATATATTATTAAGGACTATATATATAGAATTACAGAGGAAAACCTAAACATATACATGAGTATATTTGTACATATCTATATATTCTAACAGTGATGGAGAGGACGAAAAAAACGTCACCGCCAAGCAATTCTCAATGATATTGAATTGGAGATAGAGAAGATAAGATTGGCCAAAAACCAAAATGAGGAAGATGTGGCGATGTGGAAAAGCAGAGATGGTCACTTTAAACCAACTTTCAAATCAAAATAGACATGGATCCAAATTTGAACACCTAGACCAAGAGTAAACTGGTACAGAAGAGTTTGGTTTTCTCAAGCTTCTCCGAAGTACTCTTTTATAGCTTGGTTAGCTCTCCAAATAGGCTAGCTACGGGGAAGAGTTATCTCCTGGTGCGGAAACGCAAACACAAGTTGCGTCTTCTGTAACTGCCCAATGGAGACAAGGAAACACCTTTTCTTCGCATGTCCGTTTGAAGATGCAAACAAGGCTGGAGTAGCACGTGTAGCAGTCCGATTAGCTCTAGAACTGACACGGGAAGACTTGCGAAGCAATCTACACACGTGGAGGTGAGCTGGAAGCTGAGCTGGAGCTGCAGGACGTGCTGGACACTTCAAGAGACGAGAAGCTGACGTGGATAGAAAGCTTGGAGTATCTTGGAGGATCTTTGAAGAAAATATCAAGTTTCCTCTATCTTAGGAGAAGATAAGGAAAGTGAAGATTCTCATGAAGATTTGGAGAAATCACAAAGAGGATCTAGGCGAGGAGTAGCCGCAAGTCCTATTATGTATAAATAGGCGTGTGAAAAACCTTGTAGGGTTTTTAACACAACTGAGAGAATACTTAGCAAAGGGTGAGCGAAAATCTGTGAGAGTTTTTGTGAGCTAGTGTGCTAAGGGATTTTGACGACACACCATTTAGGTAGGATGATTGATAAAAATGTAAGGAATAACCTCTGCGCAATTCGGAGCAACGGTGACAGGAGGCACGAGGAAGGCTTGCAACTTTCGTTTGTCATCAGATAGTCTTGATCGAAGGAAAATTTCTTATGCTTTTTTTTCAAAATCTGTTTTAATAAGTATAGGGAAACTCAAAATGAGTTTTTCCAAATCAAAGTTGTAAAAAAAAATCTATTTTTTCTGTAAATATAATTTAATATTAGATTCAAAAAAAAATTGAATATAGAAAAACTATATTAAATATTTTAATTAAATAAAAACATTCAACCAAAAGAACTATCGAATACAAGTAGATAGAACTTCAAGATTAACAAGAAAAATTCTCTTATTAGCTTAAGGAAACTAACTCAAAACGTTAAGTGTTTAATCTCTCAAATTCATAAGCTATGCCACAACTTAGCATTTTCTTATATAGAGAGATCTTTCCTAATCCTTTTAGGAATAGTTACATATTTAGATAACTCCTAAATATTTGATAAGTATATTAGATAACTCCTAAATATTAGATAAGTATATTAGATAACTCCTAAATATACTTTAATTTAATCTCCAAGTTATTTCAACTTTATCCAACATTGTCCCCCTTAAGCTTGAAATTAACTTCTTTCACATCTTGAACTCCAATAAGGCTTCTCATTTCTTTAAACTTGATCCTTCCAAGTGGCTTTGTCAAAATGGCTGCCTTCTGTTCATTCCCTAATACATGCTCGACCTCCACTTGGTCATTCTCAGTGCACTCACGTATAAAGTGATACCTCCGGTGGATATGTTTGCTACGACCATGAAACACTGGATTTTTGGTAAGTGCAATGGCTGACTTGTTGTCGACTCGAATTGTTACCTTTGTGCATTCCTTATCAGTTATCTCAGCAAAGAGCTCTTGAAGCCATATCGCCTGCTTAGCTGCCTCTGTTGCAGCCATAAATTCGGCTTCACATGACGATAGGGCCACAGTTTCCTGCTTTTGTGAGCACCAGGTAACAGGACAGTCGTCGAAATAGAATATGTGACCAGTGGTACTCTTTCCATCATCCTCATCAACATTATGACTGCTGTCACTGTATCCTACCAAGCCTGTGTCATTCTTGCGCTTGAACATAAGACCATAAGATAGGGTTCCTTGTAGATACCTGAGTACCTGTTTTAAAACTGCTCCATGTGACTCCTTAGGCTCTTGCATGTAACGACTTAGGACGCCAACACTGAATGCAAGATCTGGTCTTGTATGAATAAGATATCGAAGACAACCAATGCTCCTTCTATATCTTTGTTCATCAATCCGATCCTCCTTAGCATCCTTTGAAAGTTTCACACCCTGATCCATCAGCACTTGTGATGCATTGCATCCTTTCATTCCAGCTTCTTCCAGAATCTTAGATGCATATCTCTCTTGACTCAGAGTTATGCCATCTTTGTGCTGCAGTACTTCGATTCCAAGATAGCACAAAAGCTTCCCAAGGTCACTCATCTCAAATCTGATTGCCATCTCCTCTTTGAACTTGTCTATCATTCGCATACTTGATCCTGTGATCAAAAGATCATCCACATAAACTGCAACCACTAGAAGACTTCCTTTCTCTTCTTCCCGATAAAGTGATGGTTCTTTTGTGCATCTCACGAAACTTAGCTCCTTTAGAATCTTGTTTAAATTCTCATTCCAAGCTCTAGGCGCCTGTTTTAATCCATAGAATGCTTTGTTCAATTTATAAACTTTGTCTTCACTCCCTTTGATCTCAATCCTTCAGGTTGTGTGACATAGACCACCTCCTTTAATTATCCATGCAAAAATGCCGTCTTGACATCTAGATGATGCACTTCCCAATTTTCTGAGGCAGCTATAGCAATAATGAAGCGAATGGTCTCGATGCGTGCTACTGGGGTAAACACTTCCTCATAATCAACTCCATGTCTTTGAACATATCCTTTTGCAACAAGCCTTGCTTTGTGTTTGTTGATACTTCCATCAGGATTACGATTAACTTTGAAAACCCACTTTAGGCCTATTGCTTTAGCTCCCATCGGTAAGTCGCAGAGGTTCCATGTTTTATTCTTGTTTATCGATGAAATCTCATCTTCACAAGCAGATATCCAATGCTTTGAATCCTTTGTCTCATTAAAATCCCACGGCTCTTCATTCAGAACTAGTAGGAGTCGTTCTCCTTCAAGTTCAGCAAGACATACAAAGTCGGCTAAGTATTCAGGTCTTCGATGTGTTCTGCTTGATCTCCTCAATGGAACCTCAGAATTCTCTTGTTCTTCATCGCCTGAAACAGTTTCTTCAAGTTGATCTGCATTATTTTCTGTTTCGTCACCTCCTGTAATTCCTCCTCTATTCTCTTCTGTCGAATCATTGCTCGATTCTTCAGATATTTCTATGGAATCTTCATCCCTTCTGATTCCTCTGTTGCCAAACTCGCTAAACTTTAGCTTGAACATTCCCGATTCTCTATTATTTTCTTCTCCTTGACCAGCCCACGTCTAGCTCTTAGTTTCATCAAAAACTACATCTCTACTTACCACAATTCTTCGGTTTGCAGGGTCAAACAATCTATAAGCTTTTGACCCTGGTTATGTTCCAAGATGGATCAATACTCGTGATCTGTCATCCAATTTTTTTCGACCTGCAACCTCTGTTCTTGCATAACCAATACAGCCGAAGACTCGCAGGTGATCGAGATTTGGCTTTCTTCCCTTCAACGCTTCGTATGGTGTCTTGTGATCCTCAAGGGATCTTGTTGCCATTCTGTTGATCAAGTAAGTAGTGTGCCTTACAGCTTCTCCCCACATATAATTAGGCAAATACATATGTTTCAGGATGCTTCTTGTCATATCGAATAGAGTTCTGTTTCTTCTCTCTACCACTCCATTTTGCTGTGGAGAGTATGGTGCTGTTAGGTGTCGATTTATACCATGTTTCTCGCAAAAGTCTTGGAACTCATGTGACGTGAACTCTCCACCTCTATCCGTACGGAACGTCTTGATTGTGGCTTTTGTTTCTTGTTCCACTATCGTCTTGAAACTCTTAAACTTGTCAAGTGCTTCGCTCTTCTCTTGCAACAACATTGTCCACATATAACGAGTATGATCATCAATAATGACGAATACATATCGTTTAAGTGTTGATGTTGTCGGTGTAATGGGTCCACAAAGGTCCCCGTGTATAAAGCTCAAGAACTTGAGAAGCTCTGTATGATGTTGACTGTGGGAACGCTTGTCGTGTTTGTTTTCCAAGTAAACCAGAAACACAAGTTTCTTTCTCAACTGAAATCCTTGGTAAGCCACTTACGAATTCTTTGTTAATCATTAACTTCATGGTATCGAAAGACACATGCCCCAATCATGCGTGCCACTTACTTGAATCACTTATTCCTTTTAGCTGTAGACACTTTAGGTAATCAACCTCCATGATTACTTTGTACAGACGATTCTTCGACCTCGTAGTCTTCACAAGGAGCTGGCCATTTCGATCAAGAAGTTTGAGAAGATTGTTTTTCATTCGTACCTCACATCCTACTTCTGTTGCTTGGCCTAAGCTGATAATATTGCTTCTGAGATCAGGAATATAATAGACACTATCTAGTATTTTCTTTTCTCCATTGTCGAACATTAATCGTATTGATCCTTTTCCTCGGATATTTATGCGCAAGTCATCACCAAACCTCACCATTCCAGTAATGGTCTCATCAAGATCCAAGAAGAACGACCGGTTTCCACTCATATGATTACTAGCACCATTGTCTAGATACCACACATTACTCGTGTTTAGATCAGTATCAAAGACTTTGGGCTTGATTTTCTCCTCGTTGAGAAATATTACTTCTTGCATCATTAGTTTGTCGGCTTCAG